TATAGAAGGGGAGAGAGAAGCCCTCTTGAAGTTCAAACTTTGTTTCCATGATCCATCGCATATGTTGTCTTCTTGGAAAGGCAATGACTGTTGTGAATGGAGAGGAGTAGGCTGTGACAAAAATAGTGGATATGTTGTCTCACTTCAACTCCAGGGATCAATATCTGATCAACTTTATTGGTACGGTATTGGCAAACAACAACCTCTATTGTATTTGATTGATGATGTAGAGGAGGTTGTTTCAAGTTTGCTCAAGCTGAGATACTTGGAACACCTAGACTTGAGCAACAATAATTTCAATTGTAATCTTATTCCACCCTCTTTTGGCTTGATGAAGCAGCTGAGGTACCTAAATCTCTCTTTTGTGCAATTTAGAGGAAGAATCCCTAGTGAACTTGGAAATCTTTCAAGGCTTCGTGCTCTTGATCTTTCTCAGTATTATGGGGGATTGCATGTTGGTGATGACATTCAGTGGATTTCTCATCTCTCCTCTTTGCAACGACTTGATATGAATGGAGTAAATCTAAGCCATGCCTCATCAAACTTGTTCCAGGTACTTGGCATGCTTTCTTCATTATCATGGTTAAGGTTGTCAAACTATAATCTAAAAAATTCTCAGCTACCATGTCACAACCATCCCCTTAATTTTACATTGCTTGGAAACATTCAGCACTTCCATATTTCTCATAATTCTTTTCATGGTCCAACATCTATTTTTCTCTAAAACATGACTTCATTGACATTTCTTGATATGAATTGAGTAAATCTAAGCCTTACATCATCAAACTTGTTTCAGGTACTTGGCATGCTTCCTTCACTATCATGGTTAAGTCTGTCATGGTGTAGTCTAAAAAATTATCAATTGCCATCTCGCAACCATCCCCTTAATTTTACATTGCTTGACAATATTCAGCACTTAGCTCTTTTCGCTAACTTTTTCCAAGGTCCAATACCTATATTTATCCAAAACATGACTTCCTTGATATTTCTTGGTCTTTCTGGCAATCAATTGAATGGGAGTATTCCAGATAGCATCGGACAACTTTTTAGGTTAGAGAGGATATATCTTTCTACCTATCAATTAAGTGGAAGTATTCCAGATAGCATTGGACAACTTTCTAAGTTAGAGAGGATAGATCTTTCTACCAATCAATTGATTGGAAGTATTCCAGATAGCATCGGACAACTTTTTAAGTTAGAGATGCTAGATCTTTCTGACAATCAATTGAGTGGAAGTATTCCAAATAGTATCGGGCAACTTTCCAAGTTAGAGATGATAGAGCTTTCTCACAATCAATTGAGTGGAAGTATTCCAGATAGCATCGGGCAACTTTTTAAGTTAGAGAGCATAGGTCTTTCTGTCAATCTATTGAGTGGGAGTATTTCAAATAGCATCGCGCAACTTTCTAAGTTAGAGAGGATAGATCTTTGTTGCAATCAATTGAGTGGAAGTATTCCAGATAGCATCGGGCAACTTTCCAAGTTAGAAAGGATAGATCTTTCTCGCAATCAATTGAGTGGGAGTATTCCATATAGCATTGGGCAACTTTCTATGTTAGAGAGCATAGATCTTTCTGGCAATCAATTGGGTGGGAGTATTCCAGATAGCATTGGGCAACTTTCTAAGTTAGAGAGCATAGCTCTTTCTGGTAATCAATTGAGTGGAAGTATTCCAAATAGCATTTGGCAACTTTCTAAGTTAGAGAGCATAATTCTTTCTAACAATCAATTTGGAATAGAATTTCCTGAATGGCTTCAATTGCCAAAGACAATATTCATGGTTGATCTCTCCAATCTTAGCATCTCAGGTCCTCTTCCAGAAAACATAGGTCATATGATGCCAATGTTGGTAGAATTACATCTTGCAAATAACCTCATGAATGGTTCAATTCCAAAGTCACTATGCAATTTAAAACATATGACAGCACTTGATCTCTCAAACAACATGTTCTCTGGAAGTATTCCGAATTGTTGGAGAAATGATCAATCACTCACTTTTATTGATCTATCTTTTAATAATCTCTCAGGTTTATTTCCGAGCACAATGGCACAGCTTTCTTTTTTAGTTATACTGCACTTGAATAACAATAGTCTCCATAAGGGACTAAATGTGGCCTTGAAAAACTTCACTTCTTTAATGGTTTTGGATTTGGGTGAAAATAAATTTTCTGGAAGTTTAACAAGCATTGTAGAGGGCGAGATCAACAACCACTCTTTAAAGGTTCTTCGACTGCGAAAAAATTTGGTTTCTGGTTATATTCCTTTGGAACTATGTTCTCTCTCTGAATTGCAAATTCTAGATCTTGCGGACAACAATCTAACAGGAAGTATTCCTCCTTGTTTTGGAAAGTTTCCACTTATGGTGAATGCAACAAAAGTGATCCATGACGATTCTGGGTATTGGGATCAAACACTTTTGATGGAGGTTGTGAAAGGGAGATACCTTGAGTATACAAAAAAACCTTTGAGACTTGAGATGAGTATAGATCTTTCGAGTAACAATCTAATGGGATCCATACCAGAGGAGCTAATTTTCCTTAAGGATTTGCACAATTTGAATCTGTCTTGGAATCATCTCTCAGGAAAGATTCCTGAGAAAATTGGACAAATGGAGAATTTGGAATCTCTTGATTTCTCAAAGAATGCCCTCTCAGGAATGATTCCGAACAGCATGTCAGGTTTAACCAAGTTAAGCCACCTCAACTTGTCCTACAACAACTTGTCAGGGCCAATTCCAACAGGCTATCAACTCCAAACACTCGACGATCCAACCATATATGCTGGCAATCCTCAACTCTGTGGAGCTCCATTCTTGAAGATATGCCCGAATAATGCACTACCTCCAACAACTACCAACTTTAAGGACAACAATGAAGGTGCACTTAAAAGAATGTGGTTTTACATTGTCGTGATGTTAGGCTTTTCAACTGGATTCTGGGGAGTTGTGGGAACTTTGATTTTGGTGAAAAGTTGGAGATATGCTTATTTTCAATGGGTGGATGATGTCCAACACTGGATACTTGTGGTTATAACATTGAAGGTGGCACAATTCAAGAAGATGTTCAATGGCAATCGAGATGATCAATGAGTTATATGTGGAGTATGTTGTTGTTGCTATATTAAGTTAGTTGAACAACCTCATGTTGTAGGTTATGGTGTTGGGTCCAACTTTGAATGGCCCAACATTGAATAGGCTAATTTTAAATAAACACACTTGTAAAGTTTTCAATAATATAACATAGGCTATAGTTCTATAGGTTTCACAAAAATAAAAATTCATAGATTCTTACAAAAAATAGACAATTCTATGCAAGGCTTTCAGATTGTATGGATTTCTATCTTTCCATTTTTTTTTTCTTTAAAAAGAAAGCAAGAGATGAAAGAATGAGATAGGAAGAATGGCATAGTTGAGTATACAATAATAGCCAAAATAAAGTCCTCATATTTTCATAGTGAAAGTTTGAAACTTTCAATCATACATAATCAAATCGCTCAATTTAATACCCAATATAATGCAGCTCTTCCATAAAATTCTCATGTCTTCAATATTTCCTAAAACAAAATTTCACATTGCATAAGGTATATCAACTACGACTCATAAAACATTGTCAAAGCTAAATAGTGAAGTCCATTATGTTAGTTTAACTGTGAATAGCTAATTGATTCTTGCAACAGAAAATGAAACCCAATTAATCATTTGCTGTTTTTAATTTTATGTCGCACTCTCGATATATAAGAGGCCTAAAAGCCAAAGCATGCTATGTAGAAGAACCTAGATAAACTTCAAGTATAAAAAAAATACCCACAAAAAGGATAAGGATTAATACCTCTAGCTGCAGTCTCAGTATTTAGCATTGCCTTTCTTCCAACAAACTATCACCGGATAAAGCCACTAAAAAAAGAGTATATCTAAGTGAGAAAAATACATAGATAATGTTGGTATATTTTTTTAATACAAAAATAAAATATAAGGGTGGTGTTTTTGTGACCAAACCTTTAGTCTTCTTCATCCTACAGACTCATGAAGGTGCAGATGCCACCACAATAGCTATGAAATGACTAACATATTTTTAACCTGCAAAAGGAATTATATTAAGAAAATTATGCAACTAATTAAAGCTACAAGAAACGTGTGACATAAGATTATAGGTCTCTAGCATGTACATGATAACATGCTACATGTGTAGTCAAATTGTATAGCAAATCCTACTACATAGACAACATTCTCAAAGTAAACAACCCTCACTTCATATTTTTATTTCCATTCCCATCTATACTGCTTATAGAAGAGTTTGAGATTTTAAGTTCAAAAATCTTAAATTCAAAATTTTGAAACAAACCAAGAGGGTGAAAAGAGATTTAGAAAATAAAAAATAATTATCCCTTTTGTATTAAAGGGAAGATGAAGAAGAAGAGGAAGAATAAGAAAATTGAAAGGGCCAAAAAGATAAATACAATTCATTGAAGAAATTTAAAGAAAATGAAATGAACTCACAACATCAAGCCAATTGGTTAAGGGAAAGTTGGTGAAGAGGAAGAAGAAGACCCATACCCTAAACTAAAATGTGAAAAATTTGTAGAATCACAAAATGAAGATCTACAAACCTCAAAAGCTGTGTCTCTTTTCCAGACACCATTTTCTAATCATCAATTGAAGATCATTCCAAAAGTCAATCTATGCCCTCCCCCTCTAAGATACTACATATGTTTGAAGCAATGTTCAAGCATTTTATATTTGACTTTAAAAGGAAAGACTGCTGAATTAAGCATACTTAAAATTAGTACATGTTCTCATTAAAAAAAGAAAAAGAAAAAGCTAGTACATGTTGATTCCTTGCAAATCTAAATTTACAAGCATCTCTTTTTCTTAAAGCTCTAATAACCATGAATAGCTAAGAAAGAGAAAATTTGAAATAAGATGAAGAAAAATACCCATGTCAATCCATTATATCTTATCAACTTCCTATCTCAAAGTTTCATTTCATTTGGTTGTCCCTATCTTCCATTTAAAAGGAATTGTTCCTAACTATGAAAGCAAAACATTGTGCATGGTTCCAAAATCATCTTCTTAACATAAATAAGTTCCATTGTTCATCATTTCAAGCTTAATATCTAACAAATTAAACTCATAATCTTAAAGCAAAACATTACACCAAATTCAATTTTACTAATCTATCATTCCTTGTTATCATTAACATAAAAGAAAAGAAACTAATGTGAAACCTCTATAATGGATTTTGATTTTGAAGCCAAATTGAATAACAAAGTAAAAACATAAGTTTGAGGAAAATAAAAAAAATTCAAAAAACCAACTGAGATGGAGTTATGTTAGTATGTTATAAATATTAAAGTCATGAATTGTAAAATAAGTTGAACTCTAATAGGTTTTTAATCAATCTAATTTTTATATTCATTTGGCATAGACAAGGTACATAATTTGAAGAAAAACCATATAATTATATTGTTTCAACTTCTCAAGATATCAACTTCCTATTTTAAATAAAAAAAGTCAAATACAGATTATTCTTTCATTCTGAAAATCATACACTTTTCAATTATGAAACATAAGAAATAGTAATATCCCTTTTCTTCATCAATCATTATATTGTTCAATCATATCTTTAGACTCAACCATATCAGTGATAACTTCTGAAGTTTGCCAAAGTAATACTCTTCGAGCCAAATTTTGAAAACAAGGATATTTTTCCAATGAACTAACTTAATAAATTCATAAGTTGGAATCAGTAGTCATTATAAGTTTCATGAAATGGATAACATTGGGTTTTAAAGAAACATACCTTTGAGAGAGAAATGCCTAATACTTCTTTACAAACAGTGGTCAAAATCTAAGTTTCCTTTATTGTCTTCTTTCCTAGTTTGTGTTGCAGAACATTCTAAATTCGAAATAAGGCTCCACTTATTAAAAAATTTCAACCATATATAACAATTATGCAGCAAGCATTAGGGTCTATGATAACAAAATCAAAATCAGAAATT